CGTTCAAAGTTCGTGAGATGAAGTCTTCTTAGCCTGGCCTCAAAGGAGTATGGTTTTGGTTGGGGTGTCTTCTAAATGGACAGCCACCTCTCTTCCTCAAGGTCCTCCTCAACCTCACACAACAGCAATTCCCTCCCTCCTATTCACCGGACAATCCCCATCCTCTCCAATCGCAAAAGCAGACTCTTTTTACACTCCGTAAGAGGACCCTTCCTGTCACTGAGCACAACCAGTATATGGGTTCATATAGCTTTTTTCTGCACCAGTGTCAAACCGAGTCAGCTCAGGTTTATGATATCAGAATAATTTCCATGAAAACCAACTGAGTCATAACCACAGACTGATTCGATGGCAGCATTAATAAAATAACATATAAATTTGTTACACAAACTCTTTAGATATAATTGAGTAATGTACTCACAAAGCTTTATGAAAACATTGGGGGATTAAAAAGAGACCCATTTGTATAGTCATGTGCTTTGATCCATTATTTAAACATTTTCCTGATAAAGCTTAATTGTATTTTAAGCTGTCAGACTAGTGGCACTCAGAGTATAGGGCCGAAGAGAAATTGACAAACTCCATGAAACAATGATGTAACCAGGTCCCTCCACCCGCCCAAAATATCTACCCCCAGAGATGGACAATCAAGCTCCCCAGATAACCTAACCCATAATCCTCTGCTCCACCAGGGCTCGAGACAAGATCATTAAGCAGCAGTAATACAGTCAGGCCCCACTGAAGACTCTCAGAGCAGCAGCATCCTTAGACACGATTTACGGGCATTACCAAAAGAAGGCAATGAAAGTAACCAATGTGAAATGAGCATGGCCCAGAACCACCCTATTCTGTGAGCTTAGTTTCTAAAAGGCAAGAAATGTAGATGGATCATGCAAATAAAACACAGATCTTAGAGCCAGAGGTGGACTGCCAGGGTGGTTCAGTTGGACTAAGGGTGACCCACATGGCCCATGGCAACCTGAGCAGGGCATTTTCCAACTAGGAAAAACAGATGAAGGGTTTTATTCTCAGAGGGCCAAGTAAAGTATTAGAAAGAGAGGCTTTGGGGTCCAAGAATTGGAGCCCATACCATGGACTTGAATGGCAAACCCTCCTTTTTATACAGGGAGAAGATGCGCCAAGACCAGAGGAGAGTCTTAGCCAAGACTCCAGGACTGGAAAGTGGAGGGGTCAGAACCCAGTGCTCTCAATTCTAAGTGTGAGGCTCTCCCCAGTTGCATGTGTGTGTGTGGATCAGCTGGAAATACTGCTAGGTACATGTCTGTTGGCCATTCCACTTAAACCGTCTGGATGCCACAGTGATTGTATAGTACATTTCACACAAATCAAGAAGTACCGAGGCTGGCAACACAGGACAGGGTGGACGGAGCTGATGGAGGGCCATTTTCAAATCCCAATAAACAGAATCTCTCCGGAGTCAGCCAGCATGCGGCAAATGAAAGATCCTTCCATTTCAGTCAAACAAAACATCAAAACAAAAGTCACACTTTGGATTTATATATTATATAGCAGACTTAACGTTCCCTAATAGGCCGGTAACTTCAATCACTAACAACTTGCCATAGAGGATGGGGCAGGTGCCCCATTTTACATGAGAAAACTGAGACAGAGGTTACCTTGTTGGCTCTGGGTTCCACCTTTGTGGCAGTTACATAATCTCCTGTCAACTTGGGAAGGGGTGGAGTCTAGCCTGTCAATCAGGTTGCAGCTTGAGGACCTCATTTGGAGGTACAAAGGAGATAAATAGCTCACTGGCGATCAAACACACACACTATGCAAGACATTCCTGTTGACAAGCCACATGGAGCCACACGCCAGCATTGAGATGCTTCCACCACCACTGGATCTATAAGACTTTCCACCCACTGGCCTGTGATCTTCCTGCACTTGGCATCATTGCATGGCTGCGTGAGTCTAAAGAAGAATTTATGGACTAGTATTGGACATAGGGGTTAATATCAGACTTATAGACTTGATCTGGACTGGACTGAGATGTTTTCTTAATATACAATTACTCTTTGATAAAAAGTTCTCTCCCACACACGAGCATCTCTGGATTTGTTTCTCTAGTCCACCCAGACCCACACAACCTTTTGGGGCAGAGTCATTTTTTCTAACCTGGACTTGTGGCCCGTTCTTATAGCCACATCCTATTGGAAAACCCTAATCGAGCGAACTGGCATTGGTGAAAACGGAGACAAACAGCCACGAAAATTTCAAGTGGAGGTACCACCAATGCCACACAGCCTGCCAATCCCCAACTAGCTGTGGTCCTTCGTGGGGGTTGAGGTGACCGGAAAGTGTAGTCGTCCAAAGTGTCCTGATGTGAACAGCCTTGCTATCAAGCAAAATGTATTGGAAAGTAGATTGCTGAAGATGTAGTTAGGTTAAAATTTAGCACCAAATCATTTGATCTCCCTTAGGATCCATGTAAACCTGTTCTGGTTTTGAATATTTTCTGTTTTCTTTTTGATTGAGGTTTTTATCTTACTTTGCTATTGTTGTTAGTTTGTGTGTGTGTGTGTGTGTGTGTGTGCATATATGTAATGTTTTCCTGTATAGGAAATCTAGCATAGATAAATTTATAGAGGCGGTAATTAGATTCAGGTTCCTTGGGGGTATGGCAGGAGAGGTTGGAGGTAAATGGGGAGCTAATAATGAGGACACGAATGAAGAAAATGTTCTAAAACTATTTGGTGATTGGTGATGACTGTACAACTCTTGTTGATGTGATGGCACTATTGAATTGTATGATATGTGAATTATATGCCATGAAACTGTTGGGGGAAACAAACAAACCCAACAGTGCCCGTCTTCTTGTGGTCTTCTTAAAGATCACCCCTTCCTTCTCAGGATGAGAACGTTGTATGTCTTCTCGCTCATTTTGACAAGCCAAACAACACTGGGAAATGGAATAAAAGTCCCGGCTCAAAACCTCCCCCCAGAATCCTGCACAGCCAACATCTGGTTATCACTCAATATTTCTGGTAAAAAAAAAGTTTTATTTATTTGGAAGCAGTTTATGGAAATAGCAAACTATTGGAAATTTCCAAAAACTTGTATGACTGTATGAAATGATCTCACAGCTGTGCTCTCTCATCTCCCAGAAACATGGCCCCGAGACACATTTTGCAGAACTCCAATGAGCTGTAGCCTCGCCCCCAGATGGCCGGTTTCATCTCAGGCCAGAGGCTCAGGACTGCAGCGAGGCTCTCGTTCCTCTTCAGTGCCTTGAACAGAGCAAAGTGCTGGCCAGAACAGCGCCAAGAGCAAAGGCGCAGCCTGTTCCTGCTTGCCAGGCTCCGGGCCCTGCCTGCCCCTCCACCTGCCAGTGCTGACCTTTCAGACCAGACCGCCTCCCACGGCCCTGGCCCTGAGCACTGGGTGGGGGGAGGAGAGGCCCGAGAAGGGGCCCACTAGCACAGATGAGTGCTCGGGGACTGCCAACTCTTCCAATGATCTCAAACTCCGGAACTCGCGCATCCAATGCTTCAATTCCCACCCCGGCTCCCCGGAAGTCATCACAGACTGGAGGGAGGGAGGGAGGGAACCGGGAAGGGAAGGGAACCTGAGCCTTGGCACACATTCTTTGAAATGCAAGTTTCCAACAGAAGGGAGAGCTGTGCCCATGTGGTAGCTGGTTCTGGCTCCCAGTCAGTGCACTTGCACAGAGTGGAACTGTGCCAGGGGATTCCAAGGCTGTGACCTTTGGGAAGGTGATTGCCAGGCCTTGCTTCTGTGGCACCACTGGGTGGATCTTGTGCCACCCCAGGGACTCCCTTAATGCTGTAGGCGTCTTCAGGGTGTGTGTGTGTGTGAGAATCTATTTCTAGAATGTACGTGATCAGAAGTTCAGTTCACAGGTTTCCCCAGTTACAAGCTAGCATGGTTTTCTTTGGAAGGCTTAAAGGAAAGCACTGGGGTCCGTGTGGCTTTGTGGGCTTCATGGTTCCTCACGGCGCTGTGGCGTTGACACAGATTATGGGAACCCTTGAGAAGAGGCTGACAGGAGGGTGGGGTAAGAGGCGAGGGGAAACTCCCAGTTTATCATGACAGTGCCAGGCTGCCTGCCAGGCTGTCCTGGTCACTTTGATAGGGCTTGGATGCGAAATCTTATTAGACACACTCGGCCATGTTCATTTAGCCACTCGCTATCTCAAGCTGGCCTCTCCAATTGGCCAAGCTATCCTAGTTGCACCGGGCCAGGGCACACACTCAGAAGCACCTCTCTAGTAGAGGGAGGCAGAGGCACTACACAGCATGTAATGCATTGAAATGTAACTCTCCGACCCACCAGGGTCACCAGGTTAAATGACTCAGCTCCACCAAGGACCTGAGGGGGTTCAAGGACCTCACAGCTACTGTAACAGCCAGCGCGTGGAGTCCTGGGGCCACAAATGCAGAGGGCCCTCCTTAATGCGGTTTGAAAACCCCCTCACTGCCACTGAGTTGCTTCTGATTCACAATGACCCCAGAGGACAGTGAACTGCCCCCGTGGGTTTCCGAGATGGTAATTCTTTACAGGAGTAGAAAGCCCCATCCACAGTCCAACGTGCAAGCACTGTGCCACCAGAGTGCCTTTGCCAAGTCCTAACCCCTCCGAGTCATCTGGCTCTCTATAGGACGCACACGAACTTCTGGGGCCTGGCTGCTGCTGTGCGGCCATCCTCTCCCCCTGACACGGTCCTTTCTCGGACTTCCACATGCAGAAGGGGAGGAAAATCCTGGGGTTGGCTCTGTCGTCCTTCCCTCCCGTCCCAATGCTCTTTGCTGGGGCAGCAGCCGCGGCTTTGCTGACAGCCACCAGGGAGCTGCTTTCTAGAAAGAATATCACTCTGAGACAAAATCAGCAAAAGTGGGTTCCAGCTCGTTCTGCATGTTATTACTTTCAAAAGTCACCAGCACCCAATTATTTCAGACCTGCCCTCTGGTAGCCAAGCCTCCCATGACACCCTCATTAGAGCCGGCCCCGGGGGTACCTTGGGATTGGTTCGCTGCTGCAGTCTCCTTTCTTCCCTCTCTCTCTGCAGCCGCTCGAACTCCTCTCTGATTTCCGCTGGGGTTCGCCTCCTTTCCACGACCTACGGCCAGAACCAAGGGGAGAAGATAGTGAAGGACCCACAAGGGAACCAAACCATACAAGGAGCAGCCAGAATTGATTTTGGTCTGTACACGCTGCCCCCGGGGCCTGCTACTCCTCTCCGCCACGCCAGTCAGGGACACCACTGGGACAGCAGGGGGTGCCCCATCCCACAGTCCCTCATTCGTGCAATACAGTTTAAGTCAGCATAGCAGAGCGATTACTAAAAAGAGGGAGCTGGCTATTTCTGAGGGCATTTAAAAATAAAAGATGGCAAGATCGTCCAAGAACAGATGCAAAGTCTGACTTGGTGTGAAAGGGATTGTTTTGTGGTCTCCCGAAACAGTCTTGGCTGTATGTCCTGGACGTGACAAGCTCCTCCTTAAAAATCACACCCATAGCACGTGAAACTATGGCCACCACTTTCACATCCTCTAAGTTACCAACACCAGGGGCTGGACAAGGGCTAACGAAGCGCAGCTTTGGAAGTTTCCATCCTCTTCTCCCTGTGAGCCTCTTCACTCTTCACGGGAAACAAAAAGAAAGGGGTTCCAGGGCCCTGCAGGCCAGCAATGATGCCATCGAAGCTCGAGTGTAAACACTGTAATGCTGCACCCCGATTTTGTAAATCTGTGACGATGTGACTGAGTGAACGACGGTCAGTCAACGGTGGCCTAAGTGGCACGTTCCTGAGGTCAAGGCAAGTCTGGCTGTTAGGCTTTGGGGTTGGGTGGGAAGCTCTTCCTAGCCTGAATGAAGGTTTCATAACTGAACACTTTATTCAGCAGGATGCTGCTTTTAAAGACGGAGATGCAATAGGTTTGATTAGCTATCACCTTAACCAATGACACATATAGACCAGTGAATGTCATATGGATTTTTTTCTTTCTATAATCAGATTTCTATGATTCCAGGAACTAAAATTCTAGACTCCAGCCTTGCAGGAAATCCAGGAGGCAGGGAGGCACTGGGCTCCACCGAGGCTAGAGGCACAAGATTTGTGTTCAAGGACTGGAGCTGTTTAACCTTTGCAGAGTGATTTATAGCTGCAAATGACTTTCTCTCTGACACATGGTGACGAGCTGAAGAGGCAGATCTTCCAAAAGGTGGCAGGCCATTCCATTTCTGGCCATATTTTACACAAGTTTTTGCAAAGAGCTGGCATATCATCAGGGCCCACAGCACAGACCAAGTGGCTGCCCCCTCCAGAGCAGTGAAGACACAGCCGGGCAGGGCATCGTACACTTTGCTCCCACAGGCCCCCTACATCTTTTATTATTTATACCCTTCTTTCAACAGAGCACATTAGCATGGGGAATGGAATAAAATGAAGCCAGCTGTAACTTGCTTTTTTCCCATCTCAGCAACCCCCAGGCACAAGCATCCAGGAAGGCGGCAGTGAAAACTGCACAACTGGTAGACAAAAGAGTCTTCAGGTTCCCTGGGAACGGAGAACCACACGGGACCCGTGAATTTATACACTTGCATTGTTCACCTTCACTGCCCCACCGCTGGGTCTACCTAGCCCTAGGCCAGCTGGGAAGACTTTCTGTGCAGACAGCAGTGCTGGGGGCTCTCTAAGGGGAAACCTGGCTCTCTAGCCTTGCCGTGGGCTCAGACTTCCCGAGATACCCTAAGCAAATCACGGTGCCTCTCTAAGTTCCAGTGGCTTCTGGCTCCTAAAGGAGAAGGGTAAAGGAGAAGATGGCCAAGGTGCCACCTGGCTCTTAAATTCTATGATTCCAGCAAATCAACTTCTTATTCTGGAAGGTTTAGATGCCTTCATTAAAACTTTTCTAAAGTTGTCAAGACAGGACAAGAAGTTCTTGGATAACGGTTATTCAGTTTCTCTTAATACTGATATCTTATGCAACAGCCACGAATACCGGTCAAGCTAAGAAGCCAAAGTTTCTTAGCTACTTTAGTTCTTCGTACATGATGATCAACCAAGCTCGGGCTTTTGGGATTTCATGAGTTCTTGCTAACATTTGTCTTTTTAATCTAGGGTTCAAATGGGGATACTACAATGTATTTAACTGTCATGTCTGCTTATTCAATTGTCATGTCCTCTGATCTGTGACAATTTCTCAGTCTTTCCTGATTTTCATAACCTTGACCCTGGTCTAGCTAACTAAGAAGAAGGGCTTGGTGATCTACTTCGGACACAGTCACTGAAAACCCTTGACTCAAAACATCTGGTTTACGGGTTTTTTCTTAAACCATTCCTGTACATCATAAGACTGATGTTGGAGAGATAGGGAAGGTGAAACTGGTCAAGTAAAGCACTCTAGAGCAAAGCTAATGTGTGGCTGACCTGGCCACAGGAGGCATCCCTATGTGTAATCTAGAATCTGAACGTGATGTTTGCAGGTGATGTAGATGACGTGGCTTCCATTCCACTCACCACCCACTGACAGATCCCCAGCTCAAGGTGGGAAACTGGCCATTTTGAATAAGATGCCAATTTCATATTTAGTGTGAGTGTTCTCACAAACCCTGCTGAGCTACTGAGAGAGTGAAACTGTCTGTTTAATAAAGTTGGGAATTGTTACATCTCATTCCTGGAATCCTGCCAGAAAAATACAAAGTCTCCTTGAAGGTCACAAAAATGCATCAAAGGATTAGAAACTGTGCCAATGCCTTAACCAATCTAAAGAAGCTCAACTTTCACCCCTTGCCTCTAGCAATCAGATGGAAGCTAAGGGCACTTCCAGGCCAGGGAGTGACAATCTCGTGGAGAGTAACAATCTTGTGCTTTGAGATCCTTGGATTCAGGTATCTCAGACACTTGGAGGCATTAACAGTGGTGTCATAAGGGGGGCTGTGTGAACTGCATAGGGTGACAATGTTAGGAGTGACACCAACATGACTACCTATAACAAATTTTATGGATGGCAACAAATGTGCTCGACACAATGGCTATATATATATGGATTGTGATAATAGTTGTACGATCCCCCAATAAAATGATTAAATAAATAAAAATTAAAAAAAAAATTCTGTAATGTTTTAAGGAGAAATTTATTAATTTTTAATATAAACACCCCTGTAGTTAGTGAGGGCAGCAGAAGTCATTGT